TATCAGGAACGTAGTAGAGGAATTTTTCATACCATTGCATCTGCAAAGAGACATCCTAGTCTACAATTACGTTGGGGAACAAGGTGTCAGTGATGGAGCCCCTTGCTTATCAATATTTACGTCATTTATTCCTGAACAAAAATAAATGAAGCCTTTCATTTTAATCATCATTGCCCAAGTTGCACAAGCACTTTCATTGTCTGTTTGAGCTTATGTCACTAAAATGACAGTGTATCTTTAAACTTTTCCTAAGAAATTTTAAACACAAAAACTTAAAAATGAACCTATTAGCAGTTAAAATTAGCAAACTAATCCAATCTGATGTCAAGTCACGTGATTGAAATTAGTCACATTTTTATACAATTTAGAGAGAATGTAAATAATTATTTCCCTGAAAATAAAACCAACATATCTGAGTCCTGTAATAATAAAACAAAAACAGTCCAAACACTTCCTGTCAAACAAGCTGCCAAGGAAAGGAAGCTGATTGGTCAATCATTTTCGACTCGTCTCTGATTGGCTGATAGAGGCACCTGTTGCACCTGTCAGTGGAGCTGAAAAAGTTTGTCGGCCGCTCAGAAGTTGCAGTGGACCGGTCCATTGTTCGGCCAGGAGGGGGGAGCAGAGAATTCCAGTCCGGAACATTTAAGAAGGAAGCAGGCGCGTTTGGACCGGGTCACACCTCTGTGAAGGGATCAGTGGAGTCTTCCAGGAACAGTCGGAGAAACTGCACTACCGCTCCAGACGTCAGCTCCTGGATCAAAAAGCTCCGAACCAGAACCGGTTCAGAGGCCGGAAACATGGCATCGAGTCCGGGGCCGGAAAGAAAGGAACTTTTGGAAGTTACCATATGTGACCGTGGAGTGGGCGGCGTGGACTTTCACTCCACGGACGATTCCTACGGGTTCGAGCAGTGGACGAACAAAGACACATCATCGCCATCAGAGCAGGGGGTCTGCGGGGACACCGCCCCCCGCAGCAGGACCTCCATCGTGGACTGCCTGCTGGTGGAGCTCTACGACACGAGGACCGCGGACAGCTGGGACAGCTCCACGGAGGCGTCCGGTTCCGATGCCTTCCTGGGCCGGAGTAACTCCGGATCCGGCTTCCTGCAGGAGCTGCAGGAGAGACACACCAGGAGGCTCCAGATGAAGTACCTGGCCCAGAAAGGTGAGGGCTGGCACATCCTGGAGGGTCCAAACTGTCTGGATTAGTTTAAACACATCGGAACAAAACTGAAGTTGGTCATGAAAAAAAATATAATGTCTGATGGAACTCATTTATCTTCTGTCCCTAAAATGATGAAGAGAACTTGGTTTGTTTCAGTTTTAATGGAATAAAAATCATCTGAAGTTTTTTTTTTAATAATAGTAATTGAACTTAATCTCACTCTGGAGAAATTCACCTCTGCATTTATTCCACCCCTTTGGTCCAAAGGGATGGAATTAGGGGCAAAATTGGGGGCAAAAGCAGGCAGGGCAGGGGTTGAGGTCATTTGCACAGAAACAATTTTTACTTGCCCAGTATAATGTTTGATAAATATAGTTCCTAATATTC